GACAGTGCTAGCAGGTTTGCTATCTCATTTCCCAGCTGAGAAAAACATATCGGAAGGAGCAATGGAGGAAGAGGCGCAGAGGACCAGGCACTAACAGCTAGTTAGCAGGAATGATTAAATTAACAACAGCAAGAAATGTCAACTAACAGAGAGGGGATATATGGAAAGATTAGATTAGAGGAACAGGCTTTACAAAGGAAGAGGCAGAACAATCTGTGCCCCAGTGAACTGAGGGACAAACAGCCCCTGACAGTTTGGGAGCCCTGGAGCAAGCTGCCCACAGAACAGTAACACAACTAATGATGTTAGGAGGCCAACCTTGAGTCAGCAGGAAAGGATGCAATTATATCCAGGTTCGGGAATCGGAAAGGTAAATAATCTTTTTTGAAAAGCTTGCCATCTAAAATGGCTAGAGATTTGGAGAGAAAAAAAAAAAACAAACACCCAGTGCTGAAAGTGTTGAGCATCAGATACCCAGAAAATCAGTCATACAGCTGCCTGATGAAGGCGACCCATCCTGGGGGGGATACGACTCTGGGGCTCTGCAGTGGATGTGGAATAATTCACTTTTGTCGGGATTTATACATCTGCCTGAGCTACACTTCTCAAAATCAGATTTGCAGTGACCAGGTTTTCACAGCGACGTGTCTGGGTTATCTGGGGTTACGTTAGCTCAGTGGGGTGTGCCTTCCTTTCTCCTGCACGGAATACTAAAATGTTTCTCTTTTTTCCTTCATTTTCTCATCTTGAGGTAAGAAGATTGGGGGGTGCCCTATTGAAGGCCAAGTTGAAAAGCTCATTTTATAATACTTGTGAGGCTACTTGTGTGCTAGGCTCTCGGAGATATCAGGGTGACCCGCAGAGAAGCACATTTAAGGCCAGGACCTCCGTGCTGGGCGGGGTGTAGCGGACACCAGGAGGAAGAAATAAGGGTGCCTTCACCCGGCTCCTGACACACTGGCCAGCTCCCTCTGATTGTTCCACACAAATCACATATCCAAAACTGAACCCCAAATTTGCTCGTGTTCCTCCAATCTCTCTCTTTGGGGTATCTCTTGGCACCCAGTCACCCTAGCCAGAAGCCTGGAGTCAACCTGCTCTTCTCCAGTCCCTCACACCTTGCAACTAGTCTCGAAGTCTTGTCATCTCTAATTTCTTTCTCTCAACTGCCCTCAAGCCTCGCCCCTTCCCCCCACCCCCGGAGCAGCCATGCCCGCACTACTCTGAGACTTGCCCCGCTTTCTCCAGTCGTTTTCTAAGACCCCAGACTTCCCGTCTTCTTGCCCGCTTCCCACTCCACACTCACACATGGTGCCCTTCACACACTGCCACGCCGCTCTCTGTAGAAGCCAGGCGCCCCACTCGACGGCCAGTGTCCACCACCTTGCCCCGTGCAGCTGCAGGGAGAGCATCATTCTGGTCGCTGTTGCGTGGACACAAGCCCTAATGGTTTCTGAGTGCGTGGCCTGTACAGCCACAGGAAGCTGCCCTGCGCTGCTCCTCCGCATGCAGCACCCCAGTGCTTCCCAGCTGTCCTACAAACAGCCTTACCAGCTCTCTGCCTGCTCCACCCAGACTCCTCCAAATTTCTCTGTGCTGGACTTCCCATTGTACACTCCAATCATTACCAACCCAACAACTTCCCGCAGCTACTTGTGCTATCCCTTTCTGCTTGTTTTTGCACCCCTATTTCCTTTGCCTAGAATATCCCTGTCCCTACCTGTCCCCTCCAACCTCCATCCCCATCCTCAGTCCACCTGGATATTTGAAACATCCCTGAGGATCCAACACTTATATCAGATAACCAAAGTCTTCAGCTGGAACAAATTGGTGAACAATCTAGAAAAGGTCATTATTGAACTGATCTTTCAGAATATTGTATGCACAATAAAAAGCTTTAATAAACACAATTTTCAAATACCTGCAATCGTTTTCACATGTAAAATGACTGTACTCCGCGGTGTGTTTTATGAGGCCGTCGTGCAGGTACAGAGCACTGCCAGCACATCCTGTTCGCCCATGCCACGGTGGAGGGTAGTGCTAAATATGCTAAAGGGCGAAAACGTACCCCAAGTCCATATAAAACACAGCAAGCAACTGGTGTCATTCAGATGCTGTGATGCAGTGTAAGGACACAGCGACCGGGTCCGGCCAATATGTAGCCGTGTTCAAATATAGAGGAAGAGGGCCTCCCCGGTGGCGCAGCGGTTGAGCGCTGGGTTGCGAAGCTGCCCACAGCCTCTGCGGCACCAGTTCCATCCCCCGCTGCTCCCCGGCCACCAGAGGAGGGTCCCACATGGCACACAGACCTCTCCTGCCGCCCGCTGCTCCCCTCAGCAGTGTACTTTGGACCTTCTGCCTGCTCTGCTCCCCGCTCTGGCTCTGGTGAATTCTCTCACCCTCCCGCGCTTCTGACTGTGCCCAGTGCTTGTATAAACAAACAAACAAACAAACAAATAAATAAATAAATAAACATGCCTCTATTAAAAAAAAAAAAAAACAAGAAAAATCAGACACCATAGAAATGTTGACTTGGGACCTCCCTGGGGGCACAGGGGTTAAAGACGCAGCACTGTGAAGCTATCTGCAGCCACTGCAGTCTGAGTTCAATCCCCATCCAGGGAGCTGCCCATATGGCACAGCAGACCTCTCCTGTCTCACCTGCTGCTCCCCTTGTTATAGGGCAGCCCCGATATAAAATAAAACGGGGTGCCTGGCTGTGGGTCCTCACCCGCGCGCTTACAAGGGACTTATGAATCCTCCACTGCAGGCACACGCAAAAGGTTCATCAAAGGTTTATTTACAAGGGAAAAGGAAATAAGGAAAATGGACAACTCAGGGAGAAAATAGGGAAATAAAGTCTTTAATGCTTCCTACCCGATCCGCCGACCTGGAAACCCAAAGGCACTCTCCGAGCTGGCCGAGGCTGCGAGCTGGCGGGGAGCCAAAATGGGGACCCCCCCCCCAAAGCCCACGTGTCTGGCTTTGTACCACACCTGGCTGCTAAACCCCACCCTCAGGTCCCAGCCCCCTTCCCTTGGGTGGGGATGGGATTTGGAGTTCCCGGTGGCTTTGGCTTTGGCCTGGGGTGGGGGTGGAGTCCACGAAGCCTGTGTGGAACCAGCTTTAGGACAGCCTTTTCCCCCTAACACCCTCAGCAGTGGATTTCAGCAGATCCGCCTGTTCTGCTCCCCACACTCTCTGGTGAATCCTCTCAAACCCACCCCCTGCACCTCCAGCCTGTACCCCAGTTCTTGTATGCATAAATAAATCTTTTTTAAAAGAAGAAATGTCGACTTATATTTCACAGCCTAATTCTTCAAATGAATCATCCATTTCTCCTGAGATTTTTTTTTAACTGCCAGGAAGATGGAAGATGAAAGATGGGGGGGAGTCAATGGAGAGAAAACACAAAATATAATTTCCCTGTGTGGCACAGGTTTCCGTGAGGTTGCCTTTGCAGCATCCAAAAAAAAAAAAACCCACTTCCTAAGTCAGAAAAACTAAGACAAATCCCAGACGGTTTCACTCATCTGTGGACTATAACGAAACAAAGCAAAGGAAAGGACAAAAGTAAACCAAGCAAACCTTAGAACCCCGACTGCCGCCATGAGACTCCCTGAGGGGGAGAAGGGAGAGGAGGGAGCCAAGGGAGGAGGGAGCCCCAAGGGACACGTGGAGGACCGCAGGTGCTGGGGAGGGGGGTGCGCGGCCACACGTCTGAGGAGGTGGTGCAAGCCAACAATACCGCCATTAAAAAATACAATAAAAAAAGCACTTCAACTACTTAAGACTTGTGAAAGCGTGTGCCCTGTCACCACACGCCCCTGAATGACTTATAAGCAAACAGCTGTGAGCACCTGCAACCCAAAACGGGTCAGACCTGGCTGCACCTGCGGAGAACGCCGGCCTGCAGCCCGGCCTGGCCTGCTGCGCCTGCAGGGGCTGCGGGGCCGAAGGTGGCTGCAAGGGTAGCCCGGAAAAAGGAGGGCGATTGGCAACGCGCACCCCGGCTACCTGCTTTTCGAGAAAGTGCCATCTCGTCTATTTGGGGGGCTGCCAAAACTCTCCCTGCAAAACTAAGCACTTGCGGAGCCAACACGACAGCGGAGCAGAGGGAGCCGGGCCGTGCACTTCCGCGCCGCGCAGACCCGCCCGCCGAGCGCGGCTGAAGCTAAAGGTCCCAGGGCAGCAGCCCGCTCCCGGGCGGCGCCGGCGCCGGGGTCTGCAGGGTCCTTTGGAAGGCATCGGAGCCCCAGGGTTTCCAGCCCTTTTCCCGCCGCAGCCGCCGCAAAGCGGGGCGCCTCGGGCCGGGAGGACGCGAGCGCCCCAGGGCTGCAGAGGGGCCCCGGCCGCCGCCCGCGCCGCGCCCCCGAAGGGCTACCGCGCCAGAAAAGCTTTGGGGAGTTTGTTGGCATCGGTTGTTTGCTTGTTTGTCCTGTTACACAAAGCAAAACCTCTGCCTTTCTGGGAGGAGCCGGGGCAGGAGGCTCGAGGAGCAGCTGCGAAGACGCACCGGTCTCGTCCGGGCGCAGGTCCCCAAGGGCGCGCAGCGTCGCTCCAACTCCCCCAGGCGCGGGGCGGCGGGTCGCCGAGGCCAGGCGTCCTTTGGACTTGCCCCCCACCCCGTGCCGTTCAACCCGCGTCCCGCGCGCCCCTCGCGTTTCCCGTCCCCAGGGAGCATCCCAGGCGCAGCGCGCCCTCGGGGAGGCGGCTTCGGGCCCCGGGTGCGGAGTTGGCCGAGGCCGTCTGTCCCCGCCTCTCCGGTAGCGCCCGGGAGCCGGGAAGGGGTGCCGAGGGGCCCCGGGACCCGCGACGGGGGGCACCGTCTCCCCGCGCCTCCCGGACTTTCTCCCGGGGGGCCCCGCGCGCCGCCGGGGGCGCCGCCGCAGCGGGACAGGGGTGCGAGCGCCAGCGGCCCGCGGAGTGCCGGAGCGCGCTGGGGACGCCGCGGGGCCCGAGGGTGGCCGCGGGCCGGGCCGGGGCGGGAGGGCGCTTACCCGCCAGGAAGACCGCCTGGAGGAGGCACAGGTAGCTCTGGCCGTACTTGTCGGAGATCCGCACGCGCTGCAGGGCCATGGCCAAGTCCACCTGCAGCGGGACGGCCTGGGCGACCGGCGCGACCGCGCAGCCGTCCGAGCTCGGGGGCAGGCCCGGGGTTCGGCCGCCGCGCGCAGGGGGCCGCCGCGCCGAGGGGACCCGGGCCACGTGCCCGGCGGCCAGCGGGAGGGAGCCCGCCGCCGCCATCCTCCCGCGCGCCGGGGCCGGGACCGCTACCCGCGCGGGCCGCCGCACAGCCCCGCCGGGGTTCGCCAGTCGGGACGGTGGCGCCGGCGCCCTGGAACTTGCGCGGAGTTTGGGGCGCCCCTGGAGAGCCGCCGGCCGCCCGCGCCGCGAGGGCCACTCGTCCGGGCGCGCACACTCGCCCCCGCCCGGCTTCCTGCGGGAGGAGAGGGGGCGGGGAGGCGGGGGAGGGACCGCGGGAGCCCGCGGAGAACCCCCGCTGACACGCCCTTTGTCGCGGGCGGGCGGCCGGGCCGGCCCGCACACGTGGTGGGAGGAGAGCGCCGCGCCTCGCACTCCCGTGGCACCTCGGCCGGCCCCGCGGGCGCCCGAGCATCTCCGCCCGCCGCGCGCCCCCGGCAAGCCCCGGCCGCGGGGGAGAGGCTCGGGAGGGCACCGGGAGCGCCCGGCCGGGGCTGCCACCCTGGCCGGCCGGGAGGAGTGAGGCCGAAAGGGTCAGCGGTGGAGCTGGAAGTCGACCTCCCCGCCCCCAGCGCCAAGGCGCGCGCTTCCCCCCTTCACACACACACCCCGACCACCTGCGGAGGCTAGGCCGGGGCCCACACCCCCAGATTCCTGATTCTCAACCGCTAGGATCCTAGGGAGCCCCCTCTATGGACACCTCGGTTGCCATCCCTCGGGGGCTGGGGCGCTTGCCGCCTAAAAGGAGCTGCTGACCACGGAGAGCTGAAGGAGGCGACCCCTTGAAGAACCCAAGTAGGATATAGAGAGTTAAAGCGTTTTCCTTTCCCCAAAGGGCCGAAGAAAGAAGGGGTTCGCCTTACCTGGCAGGGAACGAGTGACCGGGCCCAGGAGGGTCAGCCCCAGAACCCAGTGGGTGCCCGAGGGAATCGCCCCACCCCGGGCCCAGTGCTAGTGCCCTTGAAGGGACTTGCAAGTGCCACTTCTTTCTTTCATCCTGATCCTTTTCAGCAGGTCCTGGCCCGAGAGTGGCCTGATGCTAGCCAGGCCAATCATTCCAGTGGGTCTTTTAAACACTGAGGACTCACCAATTTATAGATGAGGAGAATGGGTGCAGGCAAGTACAAAAGGGAAGGCTGAGAAGTGGGGCGCACACACACACACACACACACACACACACACACACACACCCTCTCCCTCTAGCCAGCTTAAGCTCTGGTTGTGTCAACAGGCTGAATGTTTACCCACCTCTCTCCCAAGACGGGCAGAAGGCAGATGCGCAAGCACTTCCAATTGTGCCCTCGGCTGTGGACAGGATGACATGAAAAACGTCACCTGTGCCATAGCTGTCGTAATTTTACAACAACTTGATTTCCGTTTAACAACTTCATTTTGTTATCAATAAGTGAGACACAAACGAATAGCAGCCTGGAAAAGTACCAGATGACGATCTAGGAGATTTTTATAGCCGTGGGGTGAAGGCTTTCCTTAGTGTGGCATAAGACGACAAAAAGGATGCGATTTCTCCACACGTGGAATCATGTTCTGTTGTACTGAGTATGGAAGGGTGTAAAAAAGTAAGATTTAAAACAATATATTTTGGTCCCACTTCTTACACTCAGTGCATGTGTGTATCCATAGAAAATGGCTGCAAAGGACACCAAGGGCTGACGCTGCTCTGCAGAATGAAATCCGCAACCACTTGTTTATTGAGGAACAAGCTTTGTGCTATATCAGTTATTATGTTATTTTTCTTACAATGAGCAATGGTGATATTTGCAACTCACGATTTTTAAAACAAAATTGCAAGTAGGAGTTTTCTTGAATGCCCTCTGTGAACTCAGAAGACATATGAATACTTGTGGGGTTTTTTTTGTTTGTTTTGTTTGTTTTCCTCACCACCATTCCTTGTGTTTCCTTGTCCCTTTCTACCCCTCCTCCCTCTTCGCCTGAAAGCTCTCGCAGTGTTTAATGAGGTTCACTGATTTTTTGAAGTATTTTACGTTCTCGAATTGTCTGCTATGTAAATGTCCAGTGTTTGTTTTTTTCTCATTCTGACTTGCTTTATTGCACATAATTCTCCAAACTCCCTCCATTTTGCAACTCAACTTGTTTGAAATGAGGAAATAAATAGAAAAAAAAACTGTCTGGGTTTAGAAAATTATTAGCAAATAGACAATGAAAAAAGAAATTTCTAAATGACAAAACAATAGGAAAATCATCAATAAATTTGTCATAAAATTTAAAACATATAATTATTAAAAAGACAAAGTCAAACCACAAGTGGGAAATTATTTGTGAAAGAAATGATATCTAAAGAATGATACCCTTCAAGGGACCCAGAGAAGCCATAACAAAAACAAAAATTGTCAAAGTGGATCAATAAACTAAATATGGCAGTAAAAATAATAAAACTGAGAAGAAAACAGAGGCATAAAATAGAAAACAGAGGCATAAATTGAATTACACAGTAGTTTCTTCAATATCACAACAAAAGCCCTGGCAACAAAAGAAAACCTAGCAACAAAAGAAACCCTGGCAACAAAAGAAAAATACTTTTTTTAACTTGTGCTTCAAAGGACTCTATCAGGAAAATGAAAAAACACAGAACGGGACACAAATTTTGGAGATCACACATCTGAGAAGCATCTAGTTTCCAGAATATATAAAGAACTTACAGCTCTAAAGGTAAAAAGACAAAAAAACCCAAGGTAAAAATGGGCCACAGATTTGAACAGACCTTTCTCCAAAGAAGACATACAAATTGTCAAGAAGTACATGGGAAGGAGTTCAACATCATTAGCCATCAGTCAGGGAAATTTGGTCTAAACCTCAATGCCGGTTCGATCCCCGGCTGCTCCCCAGCCACCGGAGGAGGATCCCACATGGCACGCAGACCTCTCCTGCCGCCCGCTGCTCCCCTCAGCAGTGTACTTCGGTCCTTCTGCCTGCTCTGCTCCCCGCTCTGGCTCTGGTGAATTCTCTCACCCTCCCGCGCTTCTGACTGTACCCTGTGCATGTATAAACAAAACAAACAAACAAATAAAATAAATAAATAAAACATGTCTCTAAAAAAAAAAAAAAAGAAAGAGCCAAACTCTAAAATAAACCTCAATGCCATACCACTCCCGCTCACTAGGGTGGTTACCTTAAAAGACAGAGAATAACTACTGTTGGCAAGAATGTAGAGAAAATGGAACCCTCGTTCATTGTTGATGGGAGTGTAAAATTTCTACAGGTCACTGTAGAAAACAATCTGGCAGTTCTTCTAAAAATTCAGTGTAGAATTACCATATAACCCAGCAAAACCCAGCAGGTGGGATTTCATTCCAGGCAAGGGGAATGAAAATGTGTCCATGTGGAGACTTGTTCACAGACGTTCATAACAGCATTATTCATCATAGCCAAAGGGTGAAACTGAAATGTCCCTCAACAGACGAAGGGATAAACAAAAGGCTAGCTCTCCAAACCATGCCATATTATTTGTCTTTAAAAACAAATGAAAGTCTGATACCTGCTGCAGCATCCACGAACCTTGGAAACAATATACTTGAGTGAAAGAAGCCAGTCACAAAAGCTATATATATATATATATATATATATATTATGGCTCCATTTCTAGGAAATATCCAGAATACGCAAATCCAGAGAGCTCGTGAGTAGAATACTATTTGCCAGGAAAAAGGGAGGATGGAGCGATAGGCAATAAGAGCTAGAGGGATTAGAATTCCTTTTTAGTGCAATGAAATGTTCTAAAATTGATTGTGCTGATAGATGCTCAGCTCTGAATCTACTAAAAACCATTGAATGGTATTGTTTAAGCAGGTAAAATGTATAGTATTTTAATTTATCTCAATATAGCTGTTAAAAATATCTTTAATGTATAAAAAGTATTTGTAAATTAATAAGAAAATGCAATGGAAATGGTCAAAAGATAGGAACAGATAACTCAGGAAAAACTTTTTAAATTATATATACATTTTTTGTCTTCAGTAATTATAAAAATGAACCCCTAAAATCCCAAGATATCATTTTTCACTCATTAAAAAAGGCCTAGACATTTCCAGTACTCAACACTGGTTATTGTAGCAAGCCAAGAACTTTCATGCCCTGCAGGAGTGTAAGTTGGTACAATCTTTCTGGAAAGCAATTTGGCAATCAGTATCAAGAACCTTAAAGTGTACAAATCCTTTGATTCAGCCTATCTCCTTTGAGGAATTTTTCCAAAATTGGCGATTTTTTTTAAAGATTTATTTATTTATGCATACAAGAGCTGGGGTGCAGGCCAGAGGTGGAGGGGGTAGTTGCAGGGGGTGAGAGGATTCACCAGAGACAGAGTGGGGGGCAGAACAGGTGGATCTACTGAAATACACTGCTGTGGGGAGCAGCAGGGAGACAGGAGAGGTCTGCTGCACCATGTGGGTCAGCTCCTTGACCAGGGATCAAACTGGTGCTGCAGTGGCAGAGGATAGCTTTGTAGTGCTGAGGCTTAACCCCTTGTGCCACCAGGGAGGCCCCTCAAATTAGAGATTTTGTCAAAGATGTATAAACAAGGATGTTCTCTACAACATTATTTCTTATAATCCAAACTGGAAGCAAGCTACATGTCAAGGAATGGCAAGATTAATAAAGTATGATACATCTATAAAATGGATTATAAGGCAGTCACTTAAGATATTATTCTCTTGTGGTAATGCTCTCTATCTTGATCATATCAGCATCACTATCCTGGTTGTTATATTTCCTAGAGTTTTGCAGAATGTTACCACTGGGGGAAACTAGGCAAAAGGGACACGAGAGTGCTCTGTATTATTTCTTACAACTGTGTATAAATCTATACCCATTTAGAATAAAGTCTACTTTTAAAAATGATATTCCTGAAGAATCTTCAAA